GTAGGTTGACTTTCGTGGTGACATCAAATTTGATCAAGTTAAATTCATCTATCCAACTCGGCCAACATCTATTATTCTTAACAAATTTCAATTTAATATCAAACCAGGTAAGTAACATATATTTCAATTAAACCATTTTATTAAAAATTTTTATCCATTGACAAGGTCAACGTGTAGCTCTTGTTGGTATGTTTAAATTAAATGTCTTGTTGATGTTAATTACATAATATGATTCCTACAGGTACATCTGGATGTGGTAAATCAACAATAATTCAACTATTAGAACGATTCTATGATGTTACTAGTGGTCAACTTGTTAGTATTTCTTTACCTTTAAGTTTAAGTAATTATATGAAAGTTTTCCTATCAATCTAGCTGCTTGATGGCGTTGATATTCGACAATTAAACATTCATTGGGTTCGGTCTCGTTTGGGTCTTGTCAGTCAAGAACCAGTTATGTTCGATTTAACAATTGCTGAAAATATAGCGTATGGCTTAGAAAATGTTCTAATAGAAGATATTATCAATGCAGCGAGTAGAGCTAATATTCATCAATTTATTCACCAATTGCCTCAGGTTAAACAATACCAAATTAAATAATTTAGCTACGTATTGCTATTGTATGATAATGTGTTTTTTAGGGCTATGAAACAAAAGTAGGGTTGAAAGGTACTTTTCTGTCAGGTGGTGAGAAGCAACGTATTGCTATAGCTCGAGTTCTTATTCGCCAACCTAAAGTACTGCTCTTAGATGAAGCTACAAGTGCCATGGATTCACATAATGAACATGTGAGCTGTTTTTTTCTTATTTATCAATACAAGTTTCATCTCCATTTTTCAATTATAGCTTATACAAGAAACTCTTGAACAAGCTCAAGCAGAAGACTCTAGTCGAACATCACTCATTATTGCACATCGTCTTTCAACTGTTCGTTTGTGTGATTCGATTTGTGTCCTTGATAAAGGACATATAGTGGAAAGTGGTACTCATACAGAATTAATAAAACGACGTGGAGCTTATTATAAAATACTTGCTCAAAACAATTTTCAATAATCAGTAGTAAAATATTTTGAAAGTGAAAGTGTATCGTGTGAAACATTAAGAGAAACTTTAGCTAAAAAAAACTGATACATGACATATTTACATTGCTCAATTTACTGTACGGTTTTTTTGTTTTAATAAAAAGTTGATTGCTTCATCAAGCTACAGTGTATTTTATCTATTGCTTATAAGTTATCAGTCGTGTCCTCTCATTTGCGAACATACAATCGAAATTTAAAAGCTTCGAAATTAAAATTAATATTTGTAGATTAAAACTATTTCAATCGAAAGCAATCTTTAAATTTCAACTTTTCATTTTTCTAAATTTTTAAAAAGTTACTTAGATTAATTTAAAAAAAACAGTTTTTTGAAAATTAAATCGAAAATTTTAAACTTTTGTTTTTAAATTACGAAGAATTTTTTGAGAAGAATTTAAATACAATTGCTATCTTTAGTATTGCTAATAACTATCTATAATTTATAGAGTTCGCTCAAAATCGGGTGTCACTGTCTGCATTGAATTAGCTGTAATATGTAGAGTTCGCTAAACTACTGCTATTTTTTTCTTCCTAATAAATTGCAATTTTTAGAGTTCGCTAAAGACTGGCTTTCATTATTTATATTTTATGTGCTGTTGCTATGAATGTCATGAGCATTTTTTCTAAGCTTCATCATATCATCTGCTTGTTATACTAACATGGAATCGAATATAGAATGGACACAAACTAATCGAGGTGCAAGAGCATTTATATAGGGTGTGGGTGTGTGGGTGTGGGTGGTGTGGGTGTGGGTGTCGGTGTGTGGGTATGGGTGTGGGTGTGGGTGTGGGCGTGGGTGTGGGTCTGGGGTGTGGGTGTGGGTATGGGTGTGGTGCGGTTGGGGTGTGGGTATGGGTGTGGGGTGTGTGGGTGTGAGTGTGGGGTGTGTGGAGAGTATGAGTCTCGGTTTGGATCTTCTTTTCTTCCCTACCCACACCCACACCCACATCCACACCCACACCCACACCCACACCCACACCCACACTCACACCCACACCCACACCCACACCCACACCCACACCCACACCCACACTCACACCCACACCCGCACCCGCACCCACCCACCCACCCACACCCACACCACCCACACCACCCACACCACCCACACCCATACACACCCACACCCACACTCATACCCACACCCAGCCATACCCACGCACTCCCACACTCATTTTAACCGTATACGGACCTCATTTCACTCTTGCTGTTCAGCTTTAACTCCCCTCTTCTGAGATTTTGCAGATAATAAAACCAGTTGTGCAGAAAGCAGAACGAGTGTGGGTGGGTGTGAATGTGGGGGTGGGGGGGTGTGAGTGTGGGGTGTGGAGAATGTGGGTCTCGGTTTGGATCTTCTTTTCTTCCCTAACCATACCCACACCCACACCCACACCCACACCCACACCCTAGCTAGATAGTGTGGTTGCATATCAAGTTGCAACTACTTACTAGACATCAGAAATATACTCTCAAAATTGTTATGTTTGTCACTGCTAATCGAAATTTTTTTTTATTTATTTGAGATTCAATATATTTATTTTAACAAAAAACTTATCTCACCAGTAAGTTCTTA